CTCGAAGCTCTATTTACATACGAAATATAAATCTTTACCCAATTTTGTATTACCACGAAAATCGCTAACTCTTGCCAATCCACCATTTTAATTTGAAGTAAAAAATGGACAGTCAGTTCCCTAACTCACAAGCTTAGTCCTGTACGATCGAGGTACGTCATTGATAGTTCTCGCGAGGGTTAGCGCAAAAAAGAAAACATATACAAGCTTGCGGCCATTAGTTGCTGTTCCCGGTGCAGCTCGTTCTTAGCTTTTTAGTCTCACTGAAAGGCACCTAGTTTCACATAGAAATGGCTCATATAATCTCTGGCTTTGATCTCAGCTCGATATTTATTGAAGTTGTTTATTCATCTTTTCCCATGGATTCCATGAAGACTGTTTATCCTTGAAGAATGTAAACTTACTCCAATACTTGCATTAGGCGGGTATCCAAATAATTTGATATACTCGTGTTAAAATTATTTTTATCTTTCAGCTTCTTACAGGAAGCGATACTCAACCTGGACAAATCTGACACAACCACTCGGACACATGGGCCTGGAATCCTAGCTGGCCTCAAAAACCGTCTGGAAACGCTGCAGGCGACATCTGGACAGCATACATATAAAGCTATCACCCTTCATAAGCTAGTGAAAACAGTTTTGACATGAACGACGATCGTCCAACCTCACGCTCAACTCCTTTCCGTCCTCCCCATTTTAATCACTTTTGTATCTCTAAAATGCATTATAATAGACGGTATTTTTTATATCCGTTAGATAGCCACCTTTGGCAGATATGATCTTACGACTTAACAACTCCCAAAGATACCGCGTTAACTCATTTCAGAAAAAAATTAAATAGTAAAAAGCTTTATAATATTTCAATGTACATGAATGCTGTCATTAGAAGTTTCACTCTGGTCTCTATAAATCCTCACTTAACGGCGTACTTGTCTTGTGTATGGATCCGAGAATACCCCCGGCTAGACTGTAGAAATGATTGAAGTCGAGTCGCAGTAGCAGCTTATTCAGGTGTTGGCTTACTGTTGGAAGTGAAGTGAGCTGCAGACCAGCAAGTGAGTCAGAGACCAGGGCTGCTGACAAGGATGGAACATCGACCTGGCTGGAGGTGCTCAGGCACTAAAGTAGGGACGTGTAAGATGAGGAGAAATTGCTAGATATAAAAATTAATAACCTGGGATAATACTTTACTACATACTACCTCATTAATAAGGATGGGCGAAACCAGATTAATTTTCTATTCTTTATCTGCGCAAATTGGTCTTGATCTTCTGTTTTTGATGCCAACTCATCATGGCAACTAAACGGTCGAGCTGGGATAATTCGAGATATGAGTCGAAAAGCGGGAGACGTAGTTAGTCGCTAATGAGATAGCTCTACTCACCATCGAGCAACAGAATGCTATCTCAACTAACTCGTGTGCACCTCTAAAAATATGCCCAGATTACTGGAAGTGGGAAGCTTTAGTGAGAATTATGCCAAGCGCTTTGGCAAACTTAGGATTCGACAATAACGGCCACAATGAGAAGCTTGGACGAGAAAAGGCATTACCGGGATAATTGACGAAGGTAACTGGATCTATATATATTCGAAGCCAATCTGGGTGTTTCAACGGGAGCTGGAATCGTGATCTACTAGAAGACGGATTAAATGGCGTAGGTGGGCAATAACATCACGTCTAAAGGCTGCTAACGGATACATGTCCACGGGGCTCGGTGCAACGGAGCGCCGTGATCGATTGGGAGTGAAAATGCGGGAGAGGTTGGCGCTATACTTAGAGCAGGGGTAGATGAATCAAGCAACATATTTTCACCAGGGGCCTCAAATGAAGCTAATTAGCTTTGGAGGGCGTTGGGGTGTGTCAGCTGGGTGTCCGTGCGTCAAGCCGCCTTAAAGGTAACATGGGCGGGAATCACGTCTTGTCGATGTGTTAGCGCACATGCTCCACTATAATTTCCGGTCGTTAGGCATACGTGACGTAGTTAATAATCGAGGGGTTGTCATTAGGTGGTTAGAACTTGGGGTATGGTCTGACAAATCCGGAGAAGTGATCCTCTAAATGAAGAGCCTTCCGACTGGACATGAAGCTAGTGGAAAGGCTCCCTGTGCTTCAATTATTCCACTCGAGTGGGGGGTATAGTTGGATCAGGCGTGTGAAGAGGGGCCGTGGATCGTATTAGCACCAGGAGCATATGAGGAATAGATAAGATGCCATAATCAATGGACACAGTTGGTTGGGCGGGTTACTGATGGCTTGTCGACAGGCACTGGAAGCAGTGCTCCCTACTGGCCCCGCCGACTACAACACGGATGAAATACCTAGGACTCTACCAAACCATCGAATATGTGCTAAAAATAGCCATGACTACAATGACAGAGGGCGAAGCACGGTACGTCCTGCGGTCTCAGAGCGGGTGGCGGAAACGAGAACGGACTAACTGGCCAAGGTCAATGCATACTGCGAACGATCCTTAGGCTACGTCATCTAGGGTTGATTAAGATTTGCGGCTTAACCTTCGCGAGGATGCCAGTAAGAATTAGGCGGATTGAACTGTAGCCCGCCTTGTATGGGGGAGCCCTTTCGGGTAAGGCAACGGGTAGTTTAATGGTGTCGCGGGGCCCGCTCGTTTCGGTGCAGGAAAATTCAATTTATTATTCAATAATCACTGGTGACCTCAAATCCTGCGTCGGATTAATTATCCTTCCATCGTAATCAGGCCTGGGCTCGCCAAGAGGCAGGCCCGAGGAAGATCGCTGGTCCGTTCTTTTACGGTAAATTCGGCTCGAACCTTGCAAACAAAGTCTATTTTTCAAGCCAGGTGGCATTGCCAGCATCTAGTTCTCAATGTTATCTAAAAGTATTCCACGGATGGATGCGTTTAGGTTCGCCGAGACTGGCCAAAATGAAGCGGTCATTTTCATAATTTCTATCCGCCTGTTGGATATCATTGTTTTCATGAGCCACAGGCCAGTTCACTCCCATGCCCTTATCGAGGTTGTGGCTAGCACCTCGGCTAAGTGAACCGCTGGTATCAGTCACTACATGTCCCATAATGTCCCGCAAGATGGATGTTAAAGGCTATGGCAAAGAGCATTCAATGTTCCAGCATCATATGGATGGT